AAGGGAAATTCGTCACAGCAGTATGGCACCTCTGGCCTGCACTTCTGTTGGCTGCAGACCATAAGTAGCTGTCTTCCTAGCTCAGGTCAATTAGGGCGTTGCTGCAGATTACCACAGGAAAGCTCTGACACTGCTAGTGCAAGCTTGCGAGACAGTTACTCATGATCTGCACCCGGTGGAGGGACAGACAAGATTCCCAGTATAGTGGAACACCAGAGATCAGCATACCCCTCGCCCAACAAGGTGACAACAGGGAAGGAAGAATGAATATTTATTTTTAAATCATTATTCATTTAATAATTCCCCTATACACACACACTATCCATGGATGAAGGAGGATGACTAGGTAGATAAGGACATATTTATAAAGGGGTGGGAAAGACAAGAATTAACACAAACTATCTCTATCACAAACTATCTAAAGGCCTAGGGCCAGTCCAGACTACAATTGACTGTAATATCGCGCATGTGCAAGAGTACAGCAATGAGATCATCCATAGACATAGCAATTTAAAAACCAGTCAAGAGACAAAGTAGGGACTCATTTTCAATATCATCCCATCGCTTGAAAAATTATTATTTCATAGAGATATAATCTTTATGAAATACACATTGACTAAAATTCCAACCCAGTCAAGAGATATACAGAGACAAAGTAGATTTTGGAATCTCCAACACAGTCAAAATGGTGTTTTTTTTTTTTTTTTATTCTTTATTTAATTGTGCGAAATTGGTACAATTGTACCTATTCTGCCACAACAGCGGAAATAGGTATTTGATCAGGCATACATTTGTGTGACATAGAAACATAACAGTTTTTAAACAGCACGTTTTTGGATATTTACTGCATTTGATAGGACATGTCAGAGATTAGATCTGCGTCTGTCAGGGTAAACAGGACATGTCAGTACTCAGGAAAGAGATCTAGGCGTCGGTTTAAGGGTCTGAGCTTATGAAGGTGTCCGCGACTGTGTTGAATGTAAGTACATTGCGTTGTAGGCTCAGGCCCTTGTTTTTAAGGGACAATAACATGCTATTTCCCAGGGTAGGAGTGTCGCCAGTGAGGGTGTCGTTGTCTACATTTGTAGGTCATGAGGGTTGGGGGGTGTTTTCATTGTCCCACTGATTGCTCTCTCATCCCTGTGTGTTGCTTAATGTCAAATGTGTATTGTCAAGCTTTTTACCCCTAACCTTGGGGGCAGCGGGGGGGGGGTTGTTATCTCGCCGCAATTTTTAGCGGGCACGGATGCCACCAGAGAGGGAGTCCCTGTCCGTCAGGGGGGTCAAGTAGGGGACCCTATCGCTCAGGTAAATATTGTCTGTGCCAGAGTATTTAACTTGTGAACAATGTAAACAATTTAAGCATATAAAACTGAGCAGGCATAGTATGGGTATTAGCTAATAAGGTTAGTAACTTCCAGTCACTATATATTGTCCCGTATAGTTGTTCCTCCTGCTGTGTTCAGGTGGTCGTGCGGAGTGTCTGGCCGGTGCCTGGAGCCGGTAGAGCGCTTTCCTCCAGTTCTTCCTGTCTTTCTGGGGTTTGTGCGTCCGCGTTTTTCAGCCCTAGCGTTGCAAAGAAGGATGGGGCGTCCTCGAGTGATGTAAGTGTGTGAGTAGTTCCATTATGGGTCGTTAGTAGTGAGCCCGGCGCTCCCCATCTGTATTGTATGTTAGCGGCTTGTAGTCGTTGGGTCACAGGGTGAAGTGAACGGCGCCACTGTAATGTGGCCCTCGTTAGGTCCTGGTAAAAGGTGAGGCTGGATTCCTCAAACCTCAGTGGAGTCTTGCCCCGCAGTGCCGCCATTATTAGACCCTTATCCGAGGATGATGCGCAACGTAATATGACATCTCGGGTTGTTTGTGTGGTGGTTCTTTGGGGACCTGCAATCCGATAAATTCCATCTATCACCAGTTTTCTTGTCGCCGCTGGAGGTAGAATGGTTGCTAAAAGCCGTCTTGTGTAATGCGGCAGTTCCTCAGTGGTGACACTTGTCGGGATGCCTCGTATTTTTATGTTGTTACGTCTATGGCTATTCTCGAGGGCATTCAGGTGTAGGGCCATGTTGTGGTGAGATTTTTGGAGCTGTTGTACCGAGTCTTGTACCTGTGTTAGGCTGGTTATGACGTCGGTCACTTCAGCCTCCGTAGCTTGTACCCGGTCTTTTGTGGTTTGTAAATCCGCTTTAAGTCCTGTTAGTTCCTGCGACAGGATTTTATGGAAGTCTTGTAAAAGTATTTGCAGGTCGTGCTTCGTCGCTGGAGATGATCCCTCCGGTGGTGCTGGTATCATGGTGCCGAGATCATTCCTCTCTGCTTGATCAGGATGATTTATTTGAGTAGTGGTCGGCTGGGATTCCTCTAGGGTCAGTTTGGGCCTTGCAGGCCTCTGGAGCATGGCCCCAATGTCTCTTCCGTCTGTCTGTATACCGGCTTTCTGGGAGCGTCGCCCCATGGCTGGCATGTGGACCTCAGGGTTGGAGAGGGGTCCAGTGATAGGGGTGCTCGTGGGTCCCCGGTGGATTCCGCCGAGGAGCGCCTCCCAAGTAAGTGGTGTGAGCGTGGAGTAGTCCCCGGGCTTACTTTTCCTCTTTGGTGCCGTCTTTTTCATAAAGAAGGGCATCTGTCGGTGCGGTGCGGGTTCCCGAGTCAGGGTGTGTGTATGGAGCGGTAGGATCAGGCTGGGTTCTCAAGATTGAGGCGAAATATCAGGGTGAGTGTCGGAGCTGTCAGAAATGGCGTCCGATCAGCTCGGTAGTTGGCTCTGCCCCCCCCCAAAATGGGTATTTTAATATGAATATATCTTTGTGAAATAATCATTATTCAGGTGTGGTTGACAGTTCAGCTGTAGAATTGGCTAAACTAAAATGTAATAAAATTAATAGAAAAAGTACCTTTTGAACAACATTAAAAACCTGAGAAGTTCCAGGATCCAATGTGGATTCCGTGTGCATTGTACCTAAAATTGAAATACAATTTTTTTTAAAATAAGTATAAAGTAATACACAAACATTACAACCCAGTTAAGAGAAGTACAGTAGGGACCCCAGCCAGTAAGAGACAAACTAGGGACCCCAGCCACCATCCCACCAGCAGCGATTCAACGTCAGTGGTCTTTGCAAATTTGATTAAGTTTGCAGACGGTGAGAGTGCTGCTTTAATACATGTCATTAGTAGTAGTATTATGGAAGGTGTTAGAGTACCTGTTCCTTTATCTCTTCAATCCACGAGATCAATGTTGGAAGCCATAAGAAATCCAATTGAAAGAACAGATAACGAGAAAAAAATACACAAATTAAACACAGTGAATTATGTGGCTTCCACAAGATATCAGACATATATACACACAGAAATATCATGAGAGATACACACAGGTGACACACAGACATGTTTACATTGACACATACTGACATGCATACAAAGATTCACACACACACAGATCCATACACTGACACACACACGCACACACACGCACACACACTGACAGACATGCAGAGATCCATACACTGACACACACAAACACACTGACAGACATGCAGAGATCCATACACACACGCACACACACTGACAGACATGCAGAGATCCATACACTGACACACACACACTGACAGACACGCAGCGATCCATACACTGACACAAAGGCACATGTCAAAATACACTGGTAAAATAACTTACTGTAAGTTGAAGTAGAAACATGATTGCCCTCCGAATGTGTGCCGCCGCAGTCTGTGGCGGAGCTCCTGTACTCTGGCTGAGTACCTCCACCCAGCTCGCTTCCTAGTCACTTGTTGGGACCCTGGAACACTTCAACCCTAGTCACTGAGGCTTCACTAAGGTCTCTCTGGAACTTTTCCACCTGACCAGGTTGCAGGTCTCCTAATTGCCTAATCCACTGCAGCTGTTCTTCCAGGCAGATGTCATCCCCTCTGCCTATTCTTCTGCAGCTTTCCTTTCAGGCAGATATGCACCTCTGACTGCAATGTCATAGCTCTTGTCTTCATAAAGACACTTGAAGCTCTCATCTCTTTGATTTGCCACCAGACTAGAGGGATCGTGCAGCCAGGCAATAGGTACAACAACTCTTTTACTGGGATCCCTTAATCCACACAGGACACACAGGTCCAAAAGGAACTTACATATACATCTTTATTTTTTTCTCAGGACTTGCCCATAAACTAATAAATATACAAATCACATCAGCCAATATACAGGAATTTATAATAACATAAGGATTTATAAAAACATATTTATAAAGGGGTGGTAAAGACAAGAATTAACACAAACTATCTCTCCTGTCTGCAGAATTAGCAATACTCAAATAACATAAGGATTTATAAAAACATATTTATAAAGGGGTGGTAAAGACAAGAATTAACACAAACTATCTCTCCTGTCTGCAGAATTAGCAATACTCAAATCTACCTGAACATGCAAATTAACAGGCCTTGCTAGTCAGGTCATGAATATAGCTGTTGCTACCAATACAGGGTGCTATTCAGGCTTTATAGCCAAATCCACCTAGTTGGTAACACACATCAGCAGGACAGGAGAGCACACAAAACAATTAACAATAAACAAACACATTATACACACCTTGCATCGAATAGGGGCATAGGGTGACTTAGACATAGGAGACAGGATCTTACATAAAATGTCCGTATGAAACTACAGGTGATGGTGACTACCGTCACATATCTCCCTCCCACCCCCCAAAAGAGAAGACTAACTAGGTAGCAGACCTCCAATTGGTCTGTGTCTAAGTTAGTCTGGCAACCTGCCCCAAAATGTTTAAACTAACATGGTAGCCTCCTGAACTCCATTGTCTCACTAGGGAGGTCTGACAACCTCAGCTCCTGGTAACCCAAGCTGTTCCTGTGGAGGGAGGCAGACACACTCCACTCCCGGAAATATAAGCTGCCGCTGGGGAGGGAGACTGACATTCTCCGCTCCCAGTAACACAAGCTGACGATAGCTAGGGAGGCTGATACTCTCCTCTTCCTGATAAACTATGTGACACTGGACTTGGACACCGACTCCCAGTAACTCACTTGGCCACTGAGGAGGGAGGCTGGCACTCTCCCCTCCTGACTGTATGGCCTGCTGCTGGGGATGGGAAAGACAGTTTCCACTTCCAGTAACTCAGACTGCCGCTGGGGAGGCAGGCGATACTTTCCTCTCCCTGAAAAAACAACTGCCGTCTGGGAGGGAGACTGATTGTCTCCACTCCCGGTAGCTCCAACTGTGGCTGGGGAAGGAAATTGACTGTCTTCACTCCCACTAATACAACCTACCACTGGGGAAGGAGACTGGCTATCTCCACTCCTGGTGCTGGGATCTGCTGCAGGGGAGGGAGGTTGACACTCTCCGCTCCAGGTAATTCATTCTGCCGATGGGGAGGGGGCCAACTGTCTCCACTCCTGGTATCTCCGACTGCCGATGGGGAGGGAGGCTGATTCTTTTTCTCCCTGACAAACCAACTGCCGCTGGGGAGACTGAGCATCTGCATTCCTGACAATACAACCTGCCGCTGGGGAGGGAGGCCAGCACTCTCTGCTCCAGATAAGTTGAGCTGCTGATGGGGAGGAAAGCCAACACAGTCCACTACCAGTAACTCAAGCTGTTGCTAGGGAGGGAGGCCGGATACCTCTACATCCTCTTGTTGGGTTTCCATCCGCTGCTGGGAAGGTAGTGGAGTGACCAGGATCCCCATGCCAGGGGGTTGAGGATCTGGGCCGGCTGCTCAGCATCCCTTTAAATCAGGTGTGGAGAATATGGTTCTCTACATTGCTAGCTGTCCAACATCCTCAGATGTAAACCTGTAGACCTGCTGCAATACAGAGTCAAATAATTGCTTGTAATCCAGATGGGTCAAATCAGGTTCCAGGTCAGTTGCTTATGAGAGATCCAGTGGGTGTTCCCTATTTTCTCAAATGCCATAGAGTCGGAAATTCTCAGGACTTCCGAATTCAACTTTATCCTAAAAGGCTTCCCACAATAGGCCAGGGCCATCATATCCCTCGCCCTCTGAAGGGACATCATCCGCTAGTACCCTTAGCTAGTACTCCTGCTCAGCTAGTACTTTGGCTCTCAGCTATTTGCTAGTACTCCAGCTTGGCTAGTACTTCAGCTCTTGGCTAGTACTCTGGCTCTTGGATAGGACTCCTGCTCCTGGCAAGAAATCTAGCTCTTGTAAGGTACTTCTGCTTTTGGCTAGTACTCTATCTAGGCTGGTACTTTGACTCTTGTCTAGTACCCCAACTTGGCTAGTACTACAGCTCGGTTAGTACTTCAGTTCTTGACTAGTACTCTTTCTCTTGGCTAGTACTTCTGCTAGGCTAGTAGTCCAGCTTGGCTAGTACTTTTGCTTTAGGTTAGTGCCACGTATTCATCCGCTTATAAAAATGTGGTTAATGACATTTACTGTCCACAAAGAAAAAGTTGTGCCGAGCAGCAACCTAATCCACAGAAGGGTTAATGCTGAGTAACAATTATGCAAATGGGAACCTGGTAACTGACTTTGGGGTCAAAGGCCGGTTCTGGCCTATCAGATCTAGAGGAGCGGTATTTAGGCCCAGTTCTCATCCTGCTCAGTGCCCTGTCGTGGTTTCCCTTGTGGTTGTTCGAGAGCGCTTTATTTATTCTGGTATTATGGTTATTTCACTTTGGCATTGTTTTTGACTTTCCTGTTTTTTGGTATCCCTGACTCCTGGCTTTTCCTTATCGTTGTGTCTCTTTCTGTATGCCTTGACCTTGGCTATTCCTGACAATTCTTTGGTAAGTTATTCATTCTAAGGTCCGGTATACGTTACCTATTGGTCTTCTGTGTTACACAATTCTACGTGCTGGATCATACTGTAATCCTGACAGCTAGTAGAATTGTGTAACACAATTCTTGGGTAAGACTTCTGATCTTGGCGAGTACTCCAGCTCTTGGGCAGTACTTCTGCTCTTAGCTAGTACTGCAGCTCAGCTGGTACTCCGGCATTGCCTACTACTCTAGCTGAGCTTTGGCTCTTGGCTAGTACTGCAGCTATCAGGTAGTACTTAAGCTCTTGGCTAGTACTCCATCTATTAGGTAGTACGGCTCTTGGCAAATACAGCAGCTCTCGGATAGTATTATACCTCTCAGGTAATACTCCTGTTCTTGGCTAGTACTCTACATCTCGGGTAGTACTCTGGCTCTTGGCTATTACTTCAACTATGTTAGTACTTCTGCTCTTAGCTAATACTCCAGTTCGGGTAGTACTTTGGCTCTTGGCTAGTACTCCAGTTCAGCTCTTACTTTGGCTCTTGGCTACTACTCCTGCTCAGCTAGTACTCCTGCTCTGTAGTAGTATTCCAGCTCGGCTAGTACTTCAGCTCTCGGGTAGTACCCGGGTCTTGGCTAGAACTCCAGCTTGGCTAGTTCTTTGGTAGTTCTCCAGCTCAGCTGGTACTTCAGCTTTAGGCTGGTACGTCAGCTCTTGGCTAATACTCCAGCTCCTGGATAGTACTCCAGCTCGGCTGGTACTTCAGTTCTTGGCTAGTACTTTTTCTCTTGGATAGTACTCATGCTAGGCTAGTATTCCAGCTTGGCTAGTATTCCAGCTCTTGGATAGTACTCCCCTTCTTGGGTACTACGCCTGCTTTTAGCTAGTACTCAAGCTCGGTTAGTACTCCAGCTCGGCTAGTATTTTAGCTCTTGACTATTACTCCAGCTCTTGGGCAGTACTTCAGCTCTTAGCTAGTACCCCTGCTCACCTAGTATTCATGCTCTTGGCTAGTACTTCAGCTCGGTTAGTATTTCGGTTCTTGGCTAGTACTCCAGCTCGGCTAGTACTTCAGCTCTTGGCTACTGCTCATGCTCAGCTAGTACTCCAGCTCAGCTATTATTTGGGTTCTTGCCTAGTAATTATCATTGGCTAGAACTTCGGCTCTTGGCTACTATTCCTGCTCGGCTAGTACTTTGTCTCTTGGCTAGTACTGCAGCTAGCTCTTGGCTAGTATTCCAGATCGACAGGTACTTTGACTCTTGGCTAGTGCTCTAGTTCTCAAGTAGTATTCCATCTCAGCTATCAATTCAGCTCTTGGTTAGTACTCCAGCTCTCAGCTAGTACTCCTGCTCAGGTAATTTTACATGTCTCAGGTAGTATACCGGATCGGCTAGTACTTCGGCTCTTGGCTTGTAGTTTTGCTCTTGGCGAGTACTTTGGTTCTTGACTAATACCTTAGCTAGGCTAGTACTTAAATTTGAGTAGTACTTTCTTTGGTTAGTACTTTTGTCTTGGCTAGTACTTTGGCTCTTGGCTATTACTCCAGCTCAGATAGTACTTCGGCTCTTGGCTTGTACTTTTGTTCTTGGCTAGTACATTGGCTCTTGGCTAGAACTCAAGCTCGGCTAGTACTTTTGCTCTTGCCTAGTACTTTTGCTCTTGGCTAGTACTTTGATTCTTGACTAGTACCTTAGCTTGGCTAGTACCTCGGTTCACGGCTAGTACTTCGGCTCATGGGTAGTACTTTTGCTCTTGGCTTGTACTCTGACTCATGGCTTGTACTTTGGCTCTTGGCTAGTACTCTGGCCCTTGGCTAGTACTCTGGCTCTTGGCTTATACTTCAGACTCATGGGTAATACATTTCCTCTTGGCTAGTACTTTGGCCCTTGGCTAGTACTCCAAATCGGCTAGTACTTATGCTCTTGGCTTGTACTTTTGCTCTTGGCTAGTACTTTTGCTCTTGGCTAGTACCTTAGCTTGGCTAGTACCTCGGCTCACGGCTAGTACTTCGGTTCATAGGTAGTACTTATGCTCTTGCCTAGTACTCTGGCTCATGGCTTGTACTTTTGCTTTTGGCTACTACTTTGGCTCTTGGCTAGTACTCTGGCCCTTGGCTAGTACTCTGGCTCTTGGCTTCTACTTCAGGCTCATGGGTAGTACTTTTCCTCTTGGTTAGTACTTTGGCTCTTGGCTAGTACTTTGGCTCATGGGTAGTACTTTTGCTCTTGCTAGTACTCTGGCTCTTGGCTAGTACTTTGGCTCATGGCTTGTACTTTTTCTTTTGGCTAGTACTTTGTCTCTTGGCTAGTACTCTGGCCCTTAACTTGTACTTCAGGCTCATGGGTAGTACTTTTGCTCTTGGCTTGTACTTTGGCTCTTGGCTAGTACTCCAGCGCAGCTAGTACTTCGGCTCTTGGCTTGTAGTTTTGCTCTTGGCTAGTACTTTGGCTCTTGACTAGTACCTTAGCTAGGCTAGTACTTAAATTTGAGTAGTACTTTCGTCTTGGCTAGTACTTTGGCTCTTGGCTAGTACTCAAGCTCGGCTAGTAAGTTTGCTCTTGGCTAGTACTTTTGCTCTTGGCTAGTACTTTGATTCTTGACTAGTACCTTAGCTTGGCTAGTACCTCGGTTCACGGCTAGTACTTTGGCTCACGGGTAGTACTTTTGCTCTTGGCTAGTACTTTGGCTCATGGCTTGTACTTTGACTCTTGGCTAGTACTCTGGCCCTTGGCTAGTACTCTGACTCTTGGCTTGTACTTCAGGCTCATGGGTAGTACTTTTCCTCTTGGCTAGTACTTTGGCTCTTGGCTAGTACTCCAACTCGGCTAGTACTTATGCTCTTGGCTTGTACTTTTGCTCTTGGCTAGTACTTTTGCTCTTGGCTAGTACCTTAGCTTGGCTAGTACCTTGGCTCATGGCTATTACTTTGGCTCATGGGTAGTACTTTTGCTCTTGGCTAGTACTCTGGCTCATGGCTTGTACTTTTGCTTTTGGCTAGTACTTTGGCTCCTGGCTAGTACTCTGGCCCTTGGCTTCTACTTGAGGCTCATGGGTAGTACTTTTCCTCTTGGCTAGTACTTTGGCTCTTGGCTAGTACTCCAGCTCGGCTAGTTCTTCAGCTCTTGGCTTTTATATTTTCCTCTTGGCTTGTACTTTATTTCTTGACCAGTACATTAGCTTTGCTAGTACTCCAATGTGAGTAGTACTTTCTTTGGTTAGTACTTTTGCTCTTGGCTAGCACTTTGGCTCTTGGCTAGTACTCCAGCTCGGCTAGTAATTCGGCTCTTGGCCAGTTAGTTAGCTAGTACTCTAGCTCGGCTAGTATTTTTCCCCTTGGCTTGTACTTTTGTTCTTGGCTAGTACTTTGGCTCTTTACTAGTACCTTAATTTGGCTAGTACCTCGGCTCACAGCTAGTACTTCGGCTCATGGGTAGTACTTTTGCTCTTGG